TGTTACATGAAATATGCGTTCTTGTTATTCAGGTCTGATAATTTTGTAAAATGATCAAATACATATTTACTTCATATATCAAAATTCGTACAGATACGGTAGGTGAAGTCGCAGAATATCAAAAGAGCTAATACTGACGGCTATTTTTCCAGGAGTTATAAGAAGTAAGTAAAAAGAATTGATCATATATTGAGATATGTGATCAATTCTTATTAATTACTTCTTCTTCTCTCGATATGAGAAATGGCATGAGAAAAATAATATTGGATAAACCTTTCCAAATTTTAACATGTACCTTTATTCGTAAATGAACATACGTCGTTTTTTAACTTTTTTAATGAAAATGCTTTTTTAAATAAAACACTTTAACGGTTTAAAACGCGGAATATTCGTTAAACTTATTGAAAATTATTTTTAACTTCGGCCCGACGTTTCGGATGTTTTGCAGCAGCCGTGGTCACAGGGAGACAGTTTCCCAGTTTTATTTCCTTTTTCTCCCAGACTCACAGTTTTATTAAAATGTGTCTCTACTAGTCGCGTAAACAGACAGTATTTAATCTAACATAACACTTAAAATATTCCAAATACTTAGAACGTTAAGTTAATATAATAGAACTGCATAAATTAAATTGCTCTCTCTGTTAATCCAAAAAACTTTTTAATGAATCTTGCCCTATTGAAGTGTAATTGGTTTTCTCGTACTGTAAAGGGAAAGTACGTAATGTCACTTGATAATGTCTTAAGCGCGAAAACATGTTTTTAAATTACATGGCACCGCGAGCCATTTTAACAGCTTATATACCAATAATTAAGTTATTTTTTCCCTTTGATTGAGTATTGACGATTAGGTGAAGATCGTGTTATATCTGATTGATCATGGGGTACTGGAAACTGTATGTACATAGTCGCGCTATCTTGAATTTTTCAAACTAGGCATTAAACTATTCTCATAAAAAAGAAACAAGAATCCAACTTTAAATTGGCAAATCTAACTAATACATAAAGATGAAGAGTTTATTTGTTTGTTTGAACGCGCTAATCTCAGGTGCTACGGGTTCGAATTGAAAAATTCTTTGAAAACAATTTGGAAAATTAATTATCGTTATGGGTTTCCAAAGCGTACGCTGTAAGAAAGGTTCATGATACCCAAAAAATATGTACAAGAAATGATTTCTGTTTAAGTGATCTAAAAAAAAGTCAGCGAGGCTTTAATCAAGGCAACTTATTTATGTAACTTGCAAGAATGACGGGAACTAACGCGACCGACGTCGTGGGTAACAGCCACGTAAGGCAGGTAAGATGAAAAGGTTTGCAAAACTGAATTTGGATGCCCAAAATAACGCTTCTTGTGGACGAAGTCGCTGGCACAGCTAGTGTTTAATATGACGCTTATCGTGACATGTGTGTCTTGTAAAGCCAGCTATTAAGAGGAGCATTTTTTTGAGAATGAGATTTCTATTATTCTCTTCTAGAAGGTAGTTCTACTTTTAACAATATACATAAGATAACAGCATATTACCGTTGGTATATTTATTTACGCAAATATGCGTTACTCGGGTATTACGGTTCGATAAATTAATAATTTATTATGATTGTTTCATGCACCTCACGTAATAAATTATAACTTTTATTGCGAAATACTTTTGGATATCTCGTTACTTTTTTGCTTATTTCATTAGCTGCTAAGCAAGCGTTTCAATTGTTCTCAAAGCGAGCTGTTGCAATTTCCTTTTTAATGAAAAGCCAGCGAAATTTGCTTTCATCAGACAGAAGTTTTGTTTTAGTTGCATAAAGTAAATTAGATCAAAGTCACACTCAAATATGAGGCCAGAGTAGCCTAACTGCAATTTTATGATGTCATACCTGTTACTTAGAAGGTGTTACACGTCTTAGAATGTATTTAATTGCGTTTCGAATCTGGATATTAAGTAGTAGCGTTATCGAAATATACGCGAGTCATAAACCACCGCCCACAGATATAAAAGCAATGAAAAGTAAATCCATGTCTTCAGTCTGTGGATTTCTCTGGGTCGTACAGCGCATTTATTAAAGGGCTTGTCCTCCTCTGTCGTAAGGGACGACACCATGACTCTATTTTTTAAGAACTAATTTAGGAATCGAATTTTCCGTCACGTAACGAAAATATTATTGTACTTATTTAATACAATAATTCTCATGATGCATTTAAACTTGAAATTTATGTCCCGTGACTTAATTAAATATTCAATCTGAAGCCTTGGTCCATTATAATTAAAATAATAATACAATTAAAATCTATTAACGAACAAAGAATGCACGAGATCAAGTCTAACCGTTGAATAAAAATTATTTAACTCTTCGTTTACGACAAGGTGTTTTAATACTAAGAATTTTACAATTACCTTTTTCGGGAACTAAACTACACCATCGTCGTGTGTCAATTGTGTATTGAAGGTGTGGTCTTGGGTTCGAATATTGAAACAATACCCTAAACTTATCTGTCCAATGGTCCAAGAAGCGAGAATCTGTTGATTTCCTTAAGAAACATTTATAATTGTATATCATGAAATAATAAAATAACTACAATAAATCAACCTGATGAAAACATAGTAATGTAATACGACGCACATAAATAACTAAAAACAAGCAATTAAATAATAAAGTTATGAATGAATTGGACGATAGTTTAAAGCTGTTAAAATATTCATAAAGGGCAGTTTTTATTGATACACAACATCGATAATTCATATTTCTAAGGTTAATTAGTTGTAAACAAAACAAGGTTTTTCGATCTCAAAACCAAACTAGGATGTTTTTTTTTATATTTTAATGTTAATTATGTGTGTATTATTATACACTCTTTATTCATGTTTAAAGTCTTATATTAAGAGATATATAATTTTATATAATACTTTGTACTAGTCGTTCATTGCTTTCTCACGAGCCAGGGAATGGCTCATTGTAAAATTAAATACTCCACTTTGGCCTTTAAATAATGTATAAGAAAAGGAATTTCTTAGAACATTCCTTCAACTTGGTCTTAGGAACAATTTGCAGTTCTCAGAAAACCGGCAATTTATCTGTTAGACACTTGTTTATATCAATTCCCCTTTTAAATTATGATTATATGCGAAGTTTTAGCTTTTTAAAATTCGAATACATTTAAAACAATAACAGCTAGGTACATAGAAATAAAACATTAAAACTGTTAATGAAATATTATTTTTAATTTAATGATCACTTAAAAATAATTTTGGGGATAATTAAGCGAATCTTGATTACGTTATTTCTAATGTTAATTACAATTTTAGAGATATAGATAATGAATCAAAGGAAAGAAAAATTAAAAATACTATTTCAATGCCATTCTATTTAAACAATCGAAGAATCAATAATATTTAACTTAAACATTAAACAGAACAATAATAATTGGCTATAATACTGAGTGTCTTACGAGAACTCTAAGAAAACCCGATATTAGTAATAAAATATGATTTACAACAATATTCAGATATTGTTGTAAATTAGAGTCGATTAATTTGCTGATGACGACATGCATTTTCAAAATAAACCAAATATCAGTTTTTGAATATACGTGGTTTTAATTACGTCATTTTAACAAATAATTTTGTCTAAAAATACGACAGTTTAGATAATCACTTTTCGTATATAAAACCTTTTTAGAGTTCTGTACTCAAAGGGTAAAATGTATTTTTAAAAATTGTATTGTTAATAATATTTTAAAGGAATCATGTATATATACTTTGTGTTGCAATAAATAAATAAATAAATAAATAAAAAAGGGCTGGTTATCCGTCGCCATGTTTTACTCCAAGAATTGGCTGCGGCAGCTAACTCTTATACAGTATGTAATTAGGCCAAATTATGTTGCCGCTATAATCCAATACAAGATGTCCTTTATAATATGGCATTTTTGCTCAGTATTTTTAACGGTAGGCAATGACAAAATACTTTACTGTATACCTTTCTTTGTATACCTTCCTTTGTATACTTTATCGTAAACCTTTGTTTAATTATAAACAAAGGTTTACGATATGAAAATTGTGTAGGCTGTAGTGTACGCGAGTGATACAAATTTAAATAAACGTACACCAATTACTAAAAAAATAAATATTATTTATATTTTTTGTTATAATTTTCATTTGATTGCTCATATCAGAAGTTTTGAGTGATTTTTTATGCATTATAACTGATATAAAAAACGTATCAAGCAAATATCTGAATAATACTTGAATGTTAAACTCATAAAAATCCTATAAATAATAAATATTATCTCCCCGATCAGACAAACATTCAAAACAACGATGTCCTTTGAAATTACAATATTGTTTATAGATTTTCCATACAATTTGCATACTTCGTTAATATGCCACTTATGTATATAAATGAAATTTCTAATAATGACATTTAGTTTGCATAAAGCTTAACTGTTTAATTGTATTATTAAAAATATTGATTATAAGTAAATCTGATTTTTTATTTTAAGTAAAAAGTACTCGATTAGTTCTAGATATTTATAAATATTTTGTCTTTTGTACTTACAAAAATCAATTTACCATCTTATTAGCAAATAATTAATAAGGTTCGGTAAAAATATTTTTGTTTTAACAAAAATGAATTAAAGCAAATTGTTGTTGTATTTTAGATATAACTACAAAAAATAGCTAATTAAAAAAAATCTTCAAACACAGTTTTGTTTTGGGTTTGATGTTAAATTAATTATACAGTCGGTATAAAATACTACATAATATTTGTGGCGAACTATCAATAACACATCAGTATTATCATTTTACAACGAACTCTTATGTAGTAAACAGCTATTACTCGTAACGCAATATGAAAGAAATAAACGTGAAAAAATGTGTTAGTTAGAAAGCCTGAGCTTAAAAGAAAAGTGAATGATATTAAAGAAAACTAAAATATAGACAATGAAAATTTAACACACTATTCGCAGTGAAATCAAATATAGTGTTACCTTAGTTTTGTTATAATTTTTTACAATGTCATCCCAGAAAAGGGACGAAAAACAGGGTGTGAGCCGCAGAAGGAGTGTGGTGTCACAGGTAAGTTTTTATTTTTATTTTACTTCATTATAATACTATAAGTATAGATGGTTTTTAAATTAGAGGCGACGAAATTAAGTTTTATTTAACTTCAAGACTTGCGAAATATTAAAAAATACGTTTTCATCTTGTTCTAAGTAATAATTAATATAATTTATATTGTTTTATTATTATGTAGTAGTATTGTATTGCTGTTGAAATGGATTTTATCTGTATTGGCAGGATATATTTGTGTGTAGGTAAATTAATTTTTTTTTCTAAGATTCGACCCTAAGAATTAGTAATTTTAAGAGATTTCCTTACTTAGCATTTTTTTTATAACCTGCGCCTGAAGAATAAAGAAATAATAGTTTCGATCGGGTAGGTCTGATGATTTGCGTATTCATATAATCCATCAGTGAATTTGACAATTTCATGTGTTTCGCTTTTCCATACACCTTGTTGTGTGTATAGAACAATGATCAAGTATTTACAACACTTTCTGACAATAAATAAAAAATGTATAAAAAGCTATACAATATATCTATCTAATATACATAATATTATATATTTTCTTACAAATTGAATATCATAGTCCAAAAAATCTGTTAATATCCAGTATTATTTGCATGCCTGATATCCGATGTGTTAACATACTATTATAGATAAGGTTTTGTTTGATATTCCTTTTATAACCAAAATCACTTAAGTTTTTAGGCGCTGCCTTTCCGGTTGTTGCATAAGTTTATCTTTCGAATGTCATTCGCAATCTAAATTCTTTTAATGATTAATATTATAATCTGTGTAAATGCGATTCAAACTTTTTTTGTTGATGTAGCCTGTGTTAGGAGAATAAGGTTCTGTTTTCAAATCCCAGGTCTAACCGATGAAGAAAATCGAGAATCATATATTAAACACGGAAATAAACTGAATCGAGTGAAAAACGAATTTCGCTTTACACATGTTTATGTAATAAATCGGTATTCTTTTTATCTCTGTACTGAAATAATATTGTAAGCCCATAATATGTCAGATTTGTATGAAGGAGACAAAATTTTATCTTATATTCTACTAAACTGTAGAAGTATAACTTATATACTTTTTATTGTACAATTTGGTACTAAGACCGATTTAAGTAATCATTCTTAAATTTTGACTATGTCGAACTGATTCGACTATTATGTATGTTTGTCTTAATTTACTTTCATACGTAAATTATGTTTGAAACGTTTTTGGGATGCATCTTTATGTTACATACTTTATTTTTAATATAAACTTGTATGCTTTTGGTGTTTCTGTTACGGTTTTTTATTAAATAAATAAATATTGATATATATTACGTCTAAGAATAAATTATATTCTAAAGATGATACGAAAATCTTGCTGCAAAATAGCACAGTATTTGCAAAGGTATGGGCCTAATATTAACCTAAATACGAACTTTGACCTTTCTCAATAAACATTTTGATCAGTAATTGATAGTCAATCGAATACGATCAACACGTAATAAATATCTCTACGAACTTCAAATTAAAACGAAAGATACAGAGCAATATTTTGTGTAATTGTAAAAATTTGGAGACTTTGTCTTACAGTTTAGATTGTCATTACGAAACCTTTATAATACTAGCTGTGCTTGCGACTTCCTCCGCGTATAATAGCTATTTTTAGCTTCAAAATATTTTAACCATTTTCGCAACTCACGTAAAGCAAACCCTCCAACATGAATAATGTTCTGTTATTTCCACATTTCTCTTCGCTTCTATAGGTCGCAGCGGAATGTTTTAAAGCCTAAAAGCCTATCTCGATAAGTGATCTAATTATAACAAGAAGACTATTCCAATTCGAACCAGTAGTTCCTGATACACGTTCCATAAAACAAACACAAAAACTAACTCTTCAGCTTCATATATTATTATTAGTATAGAGTATTTATTTTTACAACATCATATTATTCTAAGGTTTTCTTCGCTTTGTATTCTACCTACGCCATTTAATATTGCGTAACGTACAACTTGTTCATTCATAATATTACATACATAAATCATTGAGTAATAGCTTACTATTAAAAATATACCATAAAAAATGTCCTACGCAAATTAACTTATATGTCAAACATGCATGATTGAATTTTTAAGGCGTAAACACTATGGTCAAAATGTTTTTTTTTAAGTACGTCATAATAAGAAGTACTTGTTTTTTCATATTAACGACGTCCTTTGTACGATGTCTTAATGTTATGAAATAGTACAGCCAGGGTCAGATTTAAAGAACGTGAGGCTCCAAATAAAAATAATCATTATTAGTAGAACTCAAGCTGTAAGAAGACTTATATATTTTTTATCACTGGTAGAACTGTATACTTTATATATAGATTATAATGTAAAATAGAGTCGTAAATATAAAATTAGCTTTATACAATTGTGTTCTATAGTTACTAATTATACTTTCCTAATACATTACAAACATATAGTTTTTTCGGTTCTGGTACCTACTTTAACTTACAATAGTGTCGAGAGTCGTGCTTTATGTATGAAAATTTTTCGCGCATAATCCGGCCCTGGTAGCTTTTTTGTTTATAACATTGAGATACATAACTCAATGAATATCTTGTTAAAACCAGTTTCAGTTACGTAAGGAAAATGGAGACGATGTCTATGAAGGCGCGAATTTGTTTAGAGTTCAGTGAATTATTTTTTATAGTTCTTAATGGACATTATTCATTTATCATTAATTATGATAAAGGAGCTATCAATATATTCGTTAAATCCAACTAAACCGTTATAAAAATACAAGTTTTAAACAAATATGTCTCGGCATACAAACCCAGGAACTCTAGCACTTTATACAATTCTTTTCACCATTGAACCAAAAATATTGAACGACTAACTCCTCACGATATGTGTCATTTATTAAATAATTATTTTTTAATTAAATAACAAAACTCTAAATACTCAAAACAACGTTACGTAACGTAACGAAACCGCGTTCGAATGAGTTAGCTATAATTTGGGAGAAATGCCCATCCCATATACGTTTTCTGCTTCTAAGCTTCATATCCACAAATTATTATCCAAAACGGTTAAGCCGATATTGCGTGTAACGATTAGAGTAAAACGAACGATCGATTATAATATATCTACTGGTCCAACAGCTTTTTAACAATTCAGTTGGGTAACAAAGCGATTAATTAGCAATATATTTCAAGTATCAACTAGTAATTATGAATTATTCATAGTTCGGATGCAATTGTGCTAATAATTGCCGATTAGCCTGAATTTCAGTTTTAATTACTTCAAAATTAACAATTCATTAGATTGATTTGTATGAGGGTTGATTGACGTTAAAATTATTAATGGGATTCGGTAAGATTTGACTGGGCATGTCTATAACGCTTTTATTTTGGTTTTATAGATAATTTATTTTTATAGTTTGTTCCTAAAAATTAAGATGATCATAACGAAACAACTGTATTTTAAAAGAGTCTAGTATGAGCACACAGACTTGGTTTGCATTATGAATAAAAGACAGAACACAAAAGTGCACACAAAATTGTACTTGAAAATATGCACAATGATATACAACTAACAGACTAACAGAATAACTTACAGTTCAAAATTTTAAAGACAACAAACATGAGTTATTTTCGATTTTTAAATTATATAGTGCCTTCATGAGCAATAAATAATATGTGAAAAATATTAATGTTTTCAAACATGAGTTATTTGAAAAATGCAAAGTAATGATATGCATTATCAACAGTTTTTAACTTTTTTTATTTAGCGAAGAAATAGGTCAAAGAATTAGAAGTCAAAAGAAGACCAGATAATTTAAGACCCCTCCATTATCTGCCCCCTTTTAACAATGCTTACGGAAAGCGCACACAAACTTATCCATTGCCCTTGCTTCTGAACAAGTTAGATGAACACACGCACAGTAAACTAGTAAAAGACCCGGGAAGAAGCAAGACAATTCTTAAGCCGTTTTATGCTAGGGTAGTTATAGACTATATTTATATATTAGTTAATACTGTTATATTGTTTGCCTTTTTTGTATTGTTTTTAAGTTGATTTTAGTTAAAATAAGTTAATATTGGAGTCTATATGACTCGAGTAGTGGATAAAAAAAAATATAACGATGGGTCTGTTAGTTGAGAAATATTTGGTTTGTTTTGCTTGAAATAAGTTTCACATGTGCAGAAAACATTTGCCTTTTTATTGACTGAATACGAGTAACTCAGTGATTTCACAAAATGTATTATAACTTCCTAATTCTTATGTAGTTCTTGATAAACATCAAGAGTTTATTTACATTTACAAAACCATCAGATTATTCTTTACCAAAAAATACATTTTTTTAATGACTTGATGGTTGGTGATATACCCCAGCCATATAAGATCTATTGACCCATTTTGGCTTTGGATATTCGAAATTCCACAGACGGAAACAGAAATGCGCTTAAACTTCACGGCTTTTTTCATCTGAGGATGGTGGTTCGGGACCCGGACGGAATTTTCTATATTCCCACCACCCATATCATATCCAGAAGACCTATTTCAGAAAAACTTGAAACATGTTGGTCCCGGTTGGCTTCGAACCTGCCACCCATTGATTATAAGCCATAGCTACTATTACACCACAAAGCTCGTCGAAATATTACTTTTCGTTCCCTAACAAATATAAAATATGATTTAATTTTTGTTTATATCTAAGTTCAAACAGATTGATATTAAATTGTGCTATTAAATTCCTTAACACATTTACATACTTGTCGATACGTATCAAGAATTACGCAAAAAGGCCGTTATAATTAGGTTTTATTAGCAATTAGCGTTCAACTTTGAATTCTTTCAAGTGTCTAGTTATTGACACTACATAAGCATGTTATAGGTAAGTGACCTTATTTGAACTTTAATTGACATTGATACAATGTTGCGATGTAAAGATTCACCCGACTAATAAACAAAGGAAGGAATTTTAATGTGTATATTCGATATTGCAGCCTACAGATTAAAATATCG